AGCTAGCTGTTGTTTATTTAAACAACATTCTTTATTGTATTATTTTCAAGATCCCAATAAGGATACGAAATCAATAAAGTTATTTACTTTACTTACTTACATTTTTTTCTAAGTTTTAGATTCAACTTGTCAAAAATCAGTGAAAATAAATTCCATACAAAACACTTTAAATGCAGGTTACAATAAAAGCACACCCAAACGTGATACACTTTTATTTAATGTGGTTCCAATTAATCTGAAAACACAATTTAAAAATAGATTCGTACATTTTTCAGTTATTTTGATAATCATAAATGCATACAATTTTTATTTTGCTTACATGATTACAAAAATGTCATCTGTATTGACACACAAAACGGAAAGATGCCAACATAGATACATTAAAACAATTAAAAAATGCTTTCGATACAGTCATTTGAACATTTGAGTCAAAGCATATATACAAAGTGGAAATTGATCTTTTCAAAAAAAACAGACTGCTGATTGGTCTGACTGTTAGGAGTTAGTGTTGGATAGAAAATCGGGCACAATCGTGCGAGTAGTTTCACATTAACTTAAAGCGAGAGGGTCGTCACCTGCGCATGCGTGGGAATTAAGTCCCTAGCGATAATAACGCATGCTAAAAACGCAAAAGCTCATGGGTAGATGCTTGTTTGTAAACAACGACACGCTATGGCCATCTGACGTATGCGCAGGTGACTACTCCCCCGCTTTGTAGTGTGTATCAGACACTATGCAAATTATTGCATTATTAAACCAAATCAGGCATTACACATTGTGCTTTGCTTTACTGGTCCCTTTCCAATTAGCAACAAAGTTCCAATACAAATACAAATTAGCAACAAAGTTCCAATACAAATACAAAAGTCAACATATCCAATATATACATCAGATTCAAAACTATTGAAGCGGGAGGGTCGTCACCTGCGCATGCGTGGAAATTGAGTTCCATGCGATGATGATAACACACGCTAAAAACGCAAAGGCCCATGGGTAGACGCTTGTTTGTAAACATTGACATGCTATGGCCATCTGACGCATGCGCAGATGACGACTCCCCTCGCTTTAAATAGATGAGCGGGTTTTCTTTTTCAAATATTATATTGTATGAAATGTGCAAGATATTGATACTGTGGTTATTTTGAATGCAGTGGCATACAGTGCATTGCTACAGTTGATAGATGATTGGAGCCGCTATGGCTAGAATGTCGTTTATCAGGACATCATCAAATTATTCTTTATGCTGATACACTTTTAAAGTGCAAAAGGGCCATTTAGTGCAAGTTTAAATTTTGTGTAAACATGGGTTGTATACATTGTGTGCGATCCAGTTCAAACATAACCCAAAGAAATGATATGGTTTCTCATGTTTGCCCTTGCTTGCCAGTGACACCAAAACCGGTGATGAACTCCTAAATTTTTCCATGTAAAACACATGTTCAACCAACACTGCATCTTGAACAGAAATACGCTAACTTTTTTCGAGTTTTTTCTGTTCCTTTAGTCTTTTTTCTCTCACATTAATATTTACTATATTGTGTAGAAATGAATAAAAATACAATAGATTATCATATCTCTTATCATAAATTGGATCAATAAATAAAAGATGATATTCAATCATAAAACGATAAACAGCCTCAATGGTTGCTAGGAAGTTGTCAGGTTTCTTCTCTTGTTTTCGCCAAAATGTAGTCTTCGCAGATTTTAAAATAACACACTGTAAACCTACCAGAGAAGAGAGATACTATATATTGAAATGTCAGTTATTTTTTCCTAGCGATCAATTTTTGCACATAGCTAAATTATTAAAAGACAATCCTAGTGAAAATGCAGCATAAGACATTTGAGTGCTAAGTTCAAATATTTTATTACATAAAAACAAATCTTTATACAGTATTCTACTTTTTTTCCAGAATGTTGATTAACACTTTAGACAGCTTAATTTTTATGGCCAAAATTCAGAGGCAACATTTTGCCTTTTTTTCGTTTACTTAATTTCCTTTTCATTTAAGTCTGCCAAGCTTCAGTGTATTATACCTTGATAAATACCTCATAATCTGTAATAGATGAGATATACCCACCTTGTAATCTGTCATCTCTGTAGATAGATGAGATATACCCACCTTGTAATCTGTCATCTCTGTAGATAGATGAGATATACCCACCTTGTAATCTGTCATCTCTGTAGATAGATGAGATATACCCACCTTGTAATCTGTCATCTCAGTAGATAGATGAGATATACCCACCTTGTAATTTGTCATCTCAGTAGATAGATGAGATATACCCACCTTCTAATCTGTCATCTCTGTAGATAGATGAGATATACCCACCTTGTAATTTGTCATCTCTGTAGATAGATGATGTCTGATTCCATGTACTGTCAATAAATACAACCCGATTGAATTTTGGAACAGGAAGAACATCACGCTTGGCTTTCTTTGCAAGTGGACCATTGGACTCGTCACCTGATTCATGAGTACTTTGTTTAGCAAAGTCATCTAGTGTCAAGGCAGTCGGTGATGGGAAAACAAGCAGCACCTAGTAAGAAACAAGACATGATTATACTATCATCTTTAGGTTACCCATGGCTGTGGTTTAATATTAAAAATTAAAAATCATTTAGAAACCCGAAATGATGGTTGAAAACCATATGATAAATCACAGCAAATGTGAATTTGACTTCAATATAATTTAATTTTAAAATGGCTGGATGTAACATATAATTTGCATATACTGGTAGAAGGATGAACAAAAGAACATCCCAATACCAAATCACTCAACTGAATTTAAATCTATATTTATTAATATTTACACAAATCTATAAGTATAAACCAGAAACTACACTGAATTAAGCTAAGGCATGTACATTAAAAATTATTAATACCGGTAATGTGTTCTAATTTATGTGTGATTGATGCACAAGCAGGAGAGGACAGGAAGGAGACAGGCACCTGCCTAGCCAATCCACTGGTCTTATTCAGATTTGAATTTCAAATGAAAACCTTTTATCAATTTTTATATTGATTTATTATGAAGAAGAATTACCATGCTTAGAGGCAGACATAAGACAATCCTTAGTTGATATACTGTAAAATACTTTATTTTAGCTGGAATTAATTTTCGCTGAAAAGACTTTTTGGGTGTTTTGCATGGAATTAATTTTTACTTATTTTTGACAAGTTTATTGTAAAATATAGTAAAAAAGGTATATTCACTGGATTTTATTTTCACTGAATCACTCCTTCAGCGAAAATAGCAAAACTAATTTAAGTATTGTACAGTAATCTAAATTGGTGGACTAAGTTTCATATAAAGTTGTACCTTGTCTTTTTCTTTGAAGTCTGGAATACATGGATATGTATAAATGGTTACATCATTCGGTGCCAATACTGCAGCATGGACAGCTGTACTTTTACCTTCAAGTTCTTTGGGATGCTTTATTATAACAACTTGTAAAGGTAACTATGTGATGAGATAAAAAATTACATCAATGTTATGTACATTAATATATATTAATACAATTGATAAAAATTACCATGAAACTTTTCCACCACGCGATAATGCACGACTTCGCGAGAAACTGCAGTGTTTCAACAAGAAGTGACACGAAATGTCAGACCGCAGTTTCATATTTTTCTTACATTAGTGAATCTTGCGGGCCCCAGAAATTCATAAAACAGAAAATTAATTAAGTTGCAGGTCAATCTAAATAGCAGGAAATAAATTAGGTGGAAGTAAGTAATAAGCGTTCTCTCAACATGATGTTGCCACAAACTTGTACAAAATCAAAATCATATCAGTACTATTTCGAGACCGTTATATTAATAATTCTGCCTCGATTTAGTTGAATAGTACAGTTTTTGCCCTGATGTATCATATTTTCAAAGGCTTTTTAATACATGATCGGCGAAATATAATAACATAAGACCAGCTTTGTTGTAAACATGGCAACGTGAACTATCCTAGAAAAATTGAGTAACTATCGGGAAAAAAGTTGCCATGTTCCGGTAAAAGTCATTCTTTTTGCTCAATTCTACATTCAAGAACATTACTATGAACATTATAGTCTATACATTCAAATAATGGTTACTTTCCTAAAGTATGGTCAATTTTGGCTAAAAAAATACATTATTCAACTCAACATAAAACTCTCTTGTTTCCGGGTGATCTGATCTGAACTGAATACAGAGAATGACTGAAATGCATGTGAAACCGAGGATTCCCGATGTGTGTACTCGCTATTCAGCAAAATTCGTCAAAGCGTGAGCCACAAGCGTAGCCGAGACACACGTTAGCCGGAGATTAGGCCGCTTGACACGTCTAAACAATAGCGTTGCCAGTCTGTTTATTAGTTGTCTGAGATGTAATAGAAAGTGCCACCATAGACAACCCTAGTATGTCATCAATATAAAATCCTGCCCTCTACTGCGTAGCATGCCAGAAAATTGTGTTTTTGGTCTTGTTGGAAGGTTTTCTTCAGTTATTTCACAATTACTCAAATAATGGGTCTAACTTAAACAGCCAAGAAGCTGAACACAAAACACTACGCCCTGCATGTATGTATTGGGGTCTAAAAACTAACTCTGCAACGCGATTGTGCGACTCGCCGAATGTCGATTATTGCACTCTGCGACAGGATCGCAGTGTCACTCTGCGAAGAGCACGATTCCCATTGGTTGGTTGGTCGAAAAGCGTGAATCTCAATGGTCGATCGATGTAAGGGTACACAGCATGCCTTATGGAAATGTTTAGTTTTAAATGGTTATTTCGCCAACTGCTCGCGAACTACGGTAAACAAGTATTTACCACCGACATGCCGCACGGTTCGGTAATCAGCAAGTATTTAACATTGATTTATTAACATATATAACATCCCCCGGAGGGGATGAAAGGGGTTACAAAACACATGCACGTTGGTGTTGGCTGCCTTATTACGGTGTAACATCAGGGAGCTGGTAACATTAACGCCATCTTCAAGTTGTAAGGCTTCGTCCGCAACAATGCTCATTAGCATAGGCGGCAGCTTTAAAGCGAGTAGAGCACGATTCCTATTGGTTGGTGGGTCGAACAGCGCAAATCCCAATGGTCGATGTTCACTGCATGACTTATAAAAAATTAAGTTTTAAATGGTAAAAATGGTACGATAAAAAAAAAAAGTGTGTAAACACTATGTACTGGCGACATGCCGCACTGTTTGATGATCGGCAAGCACATGGAAGATAAATTGTGGGACCAAACAAATAACACATGGTTTACGGTGATAAAACACATCACACCGCTGGCTAGAAAAATTAAAAACGTGCACGTTGGTTTTGACTGCCTATTTACGGTGTAACATTATCGCCATCTTGGAGTTGTAAGGCTTCGTCCTGACGACTATCCTCATTAGCATAGGTGGCAGCTTCAAAGCGAGTGGAACGCGAAGTACTTTTCACGCGTTCTGCAACGAATGTTGTACGTCAGCTTTGACTTTGTTGAGTGCATCAGGGAAAATAATTTGCATGCAGTGAAAAAAAAATCATTCACGATGTGCAACGTTTTGCCATGACAGCAGTTGTTTGCAATCGTCTGCCTTCGTTTAGATCATAAACGGACTTCAAACTTGTGGTCTACGATCGATTAGCTGGTATTTTAACCAGAAATGAAATACTTTGTAACAGTTGTGAAAAGTAAACAAAAACGGCGTTGGTTTGTGGTATGAATGGAATTATTTTTGAATCATAATTTTCGAAGTCAGTATTACTGAAAATTATGGTTTTTCTTTTTTTAAATGAACGCCAAATTCCGGTGGTCCATTTAGATCTTAGTGTAGCGAGAGGGGGATTTTTTTTTATCTTGATTTTTCAATAATTGAAAATTTGTACCTTGATTCATCATCCCAGCTTTTCGGAAAGACCAGCGCTCAAGCGCTAACACTACTACCGTTTCGTTAATATTTGCATAATGTTTCATTGTACTACCGGTAATACTCTGTTGTTGACGATTCTGATAGAACGGGTGACAAGTTTCCTGTCGCAAACAATGCATATCAATCTAACGTCCATTGTCAGCATTATTATCAGTCAAGACTTCGTCTGAGAAATTGTTTTATTTTCTAAGTCTATATTCTATTTTAATAACACCATCTTACTAACGCAATGACGATGTAAAAAAAAAGCAATGACGTCAATGACAAGACGAGGTAAAGAAAAATCTGCAACTAAGGGTCATATTTACTAATTTAGACTTGCCTACAGCCTGTCGTGATTCCGATATAAAATTACTTTCGCGTTCACCCCTCGTTTACGCAATTTATATTTATTTTTTAAGAATTTTTCATCTAGGTCATATTATGACCAACCTCGCGAGTGGTTCGAAAGGGACGACTAGGCTGAAATATTTGCATCACGCGAAAGACTTTCAACTACTTAACCGATGACGACACCGATACGTGAGACCGTTGAGGATCGGTGATCAGACGAGGAAGTGAGTACAGGAAATCTGTTGCTCGTCGACATCGGCCAAATAAACAAAGCCATCGTTCCGTTTATGCAGAGAGCGTGACACTGCTGTTTTAGTTTTCTATCTTCAGCAGTAGTTTCAATCCATTCACATAGCTTTACGTTTTTGTTCTCTTAATATTCTTAATAAAACGATATTGATTGCCTAGAAACAGTTTGACCCGCTACACGCTTTTATTTGGGAATTTAAAGTGATGAATATAGTCATAACAAATTATA